CTTCTTGAGATCATCCGGGTCGAGCGTGATAGGATTGCTTTGGTGTTCATCGCGCCACCATGTGGCACAGCCAGCCTTGCACGAGAGCGGAAGCTTCTCAAGTGGGCGCGAAAGGGCTTCAAAATACCTGCGCCGCTTCGTAATGCGCAATTCCCTGACATGTTGCCCGGGCTTAGCTTCTTGGACAAAAAGAAGGTTGAACAGGCCAACCAGCTGTATGCCCAGGTGACACGCATATCCATTGTTTGCATTTCTCTCAGAGTCTTGGTGACAATTGAAAACCCTGCCACTAGCCTCTACTGGATGACGACTTTCTTCTTGGAATTGAAAGCCTTCTGCAATGGACGCAATGTGGATTTTCATTCTTGTTGCCATGGTGGCCAGAGACCTAAGCGCGCGCGATTTTGGGTCTCGCAGCCAGTGTTCCGCCAGTTATCCATGTTTTGCGACGGCAGTCATTGGCACAAGCCTTGGACTCCAAAACGTGTTGGCAATAGGCTTCACTTCACCACGGCTGACGAAGCTGCCTATCCGCTCCTGTTGTGCCGACGACTCATGGATGCCTTGCTTGAGCTATGCTTCGCACAAATGCAGCTGGTTGACAAGCATCCGCAGATCAGCATGGAACAAAAGGCTAGACGTGTGGCTCTCGGGGTGCAACCTCGTGGACACGCCTTTGGTCCTCTTGTGCCTGAATTTTGCAGTCGCCGCCTCTTCCTTTGTCCAGCGAGCCAGCCAAAAGCTGTTGAGGATTTCTTGCCAAGCTTGCCAAAGGGCTCAACAATTTTAAGACGGAGATTGGGGACGGGGGGAGTCTTCGGTCCGTCTTTGATGATGGAGCGTGATGTGTCCTTCGGGGCCATGCCTGACCTCAACACGTGTGATCCTGCAGTGAAGGCGCAGTGGAAAGAAGCACAGTTAGAGATGTTCACCATTGGGGTGCCACATAGCCCAACGGACTTCATTGAAAAAGCCTTTGAAGTAGGGCACCCTCGTGGTTTTGACTTCATGTTGGAGCCTGCCATCCATGAAGCCATCAAGGCAAACTTCGTGCGTGCGCCATATCACTTGGCTAAACTGAGGATTGACTTTGTCAAGAAATGGACGGACAGAGCGCGCGCCCTCCAGCCGGAGGAGAACCAGTTGCATGCTAAGATGCCCCCATACTTGGCAAAGGTCCTTAGCGGAAAGCGACTTCTGCTGATGGCAGAAATGATGAGGGAAGCCAAATGTCCTGATGAGAGCTTGATTCAAGATATCCAGAGCGGGTTCCGTATATCAGGATGGATGCCTAGATCCGGTAACACACAGCCCCATGTCAAGAGGCCTTCCATGTCGGTGGACACCCTGCTCGTGCTGGCCTCTGGCTTAAATCGCAATACCTATGACCGCTTGAAACGCAGGCAAGATCCTGACCTGGAGGAGGCGGCGTGGACCGAGACACAGAAAGAGCTTGATGCAGGTTGGTCTTGGATTGCCAACGACACCCAGAGAGAGGGGCTCTTCATTGCTCTTCGTTTTGCGCTGAGGCAAGGACCTGCCAAGGTCAGGCTCATCGACGACTGTGCCATAAATGGTCTTAATGGTACAGCTGGCCTGCGAGAGCGCTTTGAGCTCCACACAGTTGACAAGCTTGCTGCCATGTTGGTCACTGCACTGGGCCAAGCTTCACCTGATGGCTTAAAGGGTTGGGTTGGTCGCACCTACGATTTAAAAGCTGCTTATAAGCAGTATGGAATCCACCCCTTTGATAGGGAGCACTTGCGTCTTGCAGTCAACAGACCTGGGGAAGAGGCCCCCAATCTGTTGATCTGTTGGGAGTGAACTCCTTGCCATTCGGGGCTACAGGCTCCGTATGCGCCTTTCTTCGGGTTGCTTGTGCCTTGTGGAGGATAGGGTTGGTTCTCCTGAAGTTGGTTTGGTCGTCATTCTTTGACGATTTTTCAAACGTCACGCGTGATGTCCTTGCAAACAATACCCGTTGGGCAATTGAGACTTTGTTTGACCTTCTCGGCGTTAATTTTGACAGGGATGGCAAGAAGGCACCGCCCTATGCTCCCGTGTTCAACATGCTGGGTCTCCAGATGGACCTCACTTGCTCACATGAGAGGCGCATTTCCGTTGGCCATACCGATTCCCGGCGATCTGAGCTTGTTGACTTCTTGCAAGGCATACTTGATCAGGGTTCCTTGGAGCCAAGGGTCTTCGAACGGCTTAGGGGTCGTATGGTCTTCTTCGAGGGTTTTTCCTTTGGTAGGGTTCCCACCCGTGCAGTTAGGACCTTGTCAGCTGCCTGCAAAGGTGCATCTTCGGCTGTCCACTTGAGTCGTGAACTGGAGATGTCCATTCGTGTCCTGGTGGATAGAGTTAGGTGTGCCACCCCGCTCATCATTCAGCCGTGCTCCAAGGAAACTTGGCTCTTGTTTACCGATGATGCATGCGAGTCTGAGAAATGTTGGGGGGGTGTTGGGGCAGTTTTGCTTGGTCCTAACAGGCGGGTAGCCGGATTCTTTGGAGAATCGGTTGATTCGCAGATCATGCAAAGGCTCCTAGCCTCTTCTTCAAACCCTATTTATGAACTGGAGATTGCGCCTATTCTTGTTTCCCTTTGCCTTTGGAAAGGCCTGCTTGAAGGGGTACAGCTGGTGTGTTACCTCGACAACGAGGGAGCCAAGCATTCGTGCATCCGTTGCTTCGCGCATGCAGAGCCTGCTGACACGTGGGTGGCGGCCATTGCGTCCAAAGAGCTCCAGCTGCAGCTCAGGACTTGGTACGGGCGTGTTGGTACGTCATCTACCATTGCGGATGGCCCCAGCAGGTTGGACTTCACTAGCCATGTTCTCGAGGGGTGTGTGCGATCGAGGCCCTGCCTTGCAACTTTCCTTTGTTGAAAGGGGGTAGATGCGGGGATCGTTACAGGCATGCCCCACTTAAGATGGAAGTCCGCGAGTGCTTGCAATTTTATATATGTATATATTTGATCCGTGGATTGAATATTTTGTTTTCCCGTTGGGAGAATATATTGAGGAATATGGTTTGACATTTGTGACTCCTCGATGTTATTTTGGTTGGAAAGTTGTGAGACTAAGTCTCAAACAAACATTGTGTCAGTCGTGTATGGAATAAGTGCTCACTCCCTATGGGATGCACACCTTTTTCTAAACATGATTGGATTTCAGTTTTTGAAATCAACAATGTTTTACCAACCAAAAATTTTTCAAAAATTCTCCCTTGCATTCAACTGATTGTCTTGTGTGGCATGACATCTCTTGGTTGAAGCAGCTCCTCAGTGGTTCGGGCCAGAGAATTTTCGTCCCACCCTGCCCACCCTGAGTTTTGTGGCCTAACCCCACCGCTGTAGATGCGGGGATTGTTACAGGCATGCCCCACTCGAGAAAAAAATGAAAGTCCGCGAGTGCTTGCAATTATATATATATATATTTGATCCGTGGATTGAATATTTTTTTTCCCGTTGGGAGAATATATGGAGGAATATGGTTTGACCTTTGTGACTCCTCGATGTTATTTTGGTTGGAAAGTTGTGAGACTAAGTCTCAAACAAACATATTGTCAATCGTGTATGGAATACGTATTTCTTGATTTGCATAAATTTGCATAGCATTTTTCAGTGATACATGTGTTGCTGTGGATAAGAGTAGAACAAAAAGCGGTTTGGCACGGTACCATGTTAGCTTGGGTAGGTACAATCCGTATGCAGTCCTTGCTTGGTAGCGTGCTCCCTTCAAGTGGTAGCCGTCGCAAGAGATTGAAACACGGTGGCATACATGCACGCTCCACGGATGGGTAAGAAATTTCACAACCGGCATGCATATTCATGATGGTGAAGCAGTGTTGACAGTATGGAGTACGCGTTGATTTCTTGAGGTGCCACTTCCATCTGGCAAGTTTGGCAGCATTGAGGATCGATGGGAGCTTGTATTTGAAGCGGGGCAGCGTAAACCCAGCAAGGCTGTGAGTCTTGCAAGTGCTTGCCGTGCAATTGGGTTCCTCGGCGGGAATCTTTTAACAGTGTCGTGACGTTTTTTTTGGGAACTCGCAACAGTAGCGCAACGCTGGCCTGTGAGAGCCAAACTAGCTTTCATGTTTGTGGCACGCCTTTTGCGCGTTTGCAGGATTCACTCTCTTGGCGTGAGGAATCTGCAGCTCCCCTCTGCTGAGGGACTGTTTTAAATTGGATCAAGTGCCAAGTCCTTGTCATTCACTTTTCTAATCCAGCACATTTGATGTATGTAGGGCGTTTGCACACCTCAGCGCACATGTTTACCAAACCTTATGAGCCCAAAACGGAATTACGCATTTTCCCGCAAACTGGGGGTTTCTGAGCTTCAACATCAGCGTCGGTGTTATTTCGATTGGCCAATAATGAGAATTCTCTCAGCTCAAGCCACATGCAGCGCTGCATCCTTGAGGCAGCTCCAGCGTGCTTGCTGCAGATATTTGACTACACGAGGTTCGGTTTGGTAACATATACAGGGGTTCTTTATGCTCACATGTGATTTTTACAGTCACCCACTTCTCCGCGGAAACTCAGGATGCCTCAAAATTGGAGTCCTTGGCATTCTTTACGATTCAATTGTTGGTTAGATGGTTCCAGTTTCCGCTGGCGTTTGACGATCCTTCCGTGTTGAAGGCCTTTCTTGCATCACGCCAAACAACCGGAAGCCTGCAAGATAAGTCTTCAATACATGAGCCACGAGTGAAACTTTAAGTACTCCATGAGAATCGGCACGGCAAGCCAGATACATCAAAGTTTGCTTTGTAGGCTTTCTGTCTGTTTGGTTATGGGTGGGGTTGACTGCACAGAGCGTTGACCGCCGAACTTGCAAACATAGCTGCCTGCCAGGACACATGCAATTTGTCAGAGGGAGTCCGAAATCTTCAAAGGGCGAGGTGCAATCCTTTTATATCCTTTTCTGGATTCAAAGTTGTCAGCCAAGACAGCCATCCCTCACCTGTTTGCCGTAGGGTGTTGAACTGCCATGTCAGTGGTGGCGGTTGTTTTCGTGTTTGCTTTCATTCCCAGCTCAGCACAGCAGGCAGGGACGCTGAAGCAAGAAGGGAATCCCACCATATCGGTAAAGGAATGTACCAAGGCAGGTGGCTGCAGCACCCGGAACAAAAAGTTAGTATTGGATGCCAACTGGCGGTGGATTCACACCACGCAGGGCTACAGCAACTGCTACACGGGCAATCAGTGGGACACTTCCATTTGCACGGATGGTGACACGTGTGCTCGCAACTGTGCTTTGGAAGGTGTGGATGCTCAGCAGTATCAGAATACATATGGCATCACAAGCATCCCGGGGGGTGTCCGCCTTGGCTTTGTCACCGGTGCGAATGTTGGTTCGCGGCTATTCCTCCTTGAAGATGACGATACCTACATGATGTTCAAGTTGAAGAACCGGGAGTTTGCCCTGGACGTGGATTCCTCCCAGGTGCATTGTGGCATGAACGGTGCCATGTACTTCTCAGAGATGGCAGCCAATGGCGGCAAGGGGGTTGGAAGCAACGCGGCTGGCGCCAAGTATGGCACCGGCTACTGTGATGCACAGTGCCCGCATGACATCAAGTTCATCGGGGGGAAGGCCAATTCCAAGGACTGGAAGCCCAACCCTAAAGACTTCTCGAACAACATGGGCATTGGGCACTATGGTGCTTGCTGTGCCGAGATGGATATATGGGAGGCCAACAAGATGGCCACCGCTTACACCCCGCACCCCTGCCACATTGACACCCCAGGGCAGTACATGTGTGAAGGCACGGAGTGTGGCGACAATGACAGTGGCGAGCGCTATGATGGAGTTTGCGACAAGGATGGCTGCGACATCAACCCTTTCCGAATGGGCAACAAGACATTCTATGGCGCCTCGTCAAGTTACGTTGTCGACTCCTCAAAGCCGATGACGGTGGTGACCCAATTCATCACCACGGATGGCACCGACCTGGGAGACCTGTCGGAAATCCGACGATTCTACATCCAGGATGGGGAAGTCTTCGAGAGCCCTCCAATCCCGATTTTGCCAGGGAACCCAGATTCCATCACAGACCAGATGTGCGAGGATAAGAAGGCCCTCTTTGGGGACATCAATGACTTCAAGAAAAAGGGTGGCAACAAAGGCATGGGCGATTCACTTGACCGTGGCCATGTGGCCGCGTTCTCGCTGTGGGATGATGTGGATGTCAGTATGATGTGGCTGGACTCTTGCTTTCCCAGGGACAAGCCGTGCGCCGATCCGGGAGTGCAGCGCGGCCTCTGCGATGGGGAGCCGGAGAGCTTGCCCCGAAACGTGCGCAACGCTCATCCGGATGGCTCTGTCACTTTTGCCAACGTGGCGTTCGGGGAGATTGGCACGACACAGTCTATGTATCCCGCACATGCTACAACAACTACTACCTCTACGGCAGACCCCTGGATTCCGGTGGATGGTGGAGAGAGCCGTGCATGCCGTGGAAGCGCTCCCGGTGATAACTCAGGCAGCTACTACACTGTCATCAATGGCCTTGCCAGCATTGACGCTTGTAAGGCAGAATGTCTTGTGACCCCGGGCTGCCAAGGGATCGAGTTCTCCATTGCCGGGAGGTGCGAGGTTTGGATCCGGCCTGAGGGAATCCAGGCTTCCATTCCTCTGCAGCGCTTTACATGTCTTCGCTTTGAGGGCAAAGTGTCTACCACGCCAACGACGACACTGGGTGTGGGCTGGGCCCCAGTGAATGGAGGCAGCGACAATGCATGCAGAGGGGCCAGCATTGCTGATAATTCTCCCAGTCACTACATTGTCAAAAGAGCTGCTACCTTAGGGGAGTGCAGAGACATTTGCGAGCTCACAGCAGAGTGCAAAGGTGTCGAGTTCTCAGGACAAAGGTGCGAGGTGTGGGTCCGTCCAGAGGGCATCCAGGCCTCGAAGCCCCTCGCAGGCTTCACGTGCCTGAGCTTCGACCGCCCCACAACGACCACCACGACCACCACTACAACTACAACGACTACAACGACTACGGCCTGTGCGGGTGCTTGGAAGCAATGCGGAGGAAACAACCACAACGGCCCGACTTGCTGCACATCCGGCTACACTTGTACCTTTGGAAACGAATGGTATTCGCAGTGCAAGCCGAACGCTGACATGCAATTGTCTCAGACCGCAAGCGGCAAGAAGAGTTCCAAGCAACGCTTTTTAGGTCCCAGCTTTGCACAAGCCAGAGCTCGCACAGATCGCAAAGCAGCAGCCCCAGCAGCCCATGTTGAGCTCTGAGCTCAGACTTGCTTTATGGGCCTGCGGGTCGCGGAGTGCCACAAAAACCGTGTGAACGCTTCAGACCTTCAGGCTGAATTTCTTCCTGCATGCGCCCTGGCCCCAGAAACGCAGGTCTGGGTAAGTGGACCTCTCATACAGCCCTACGTGGGGAATGGCTTAATTCAAAATCCCTTTGAATCCAATGTATATATCGGGATCAGTGGTTTCAGGAGCGCCAGAATGGCGACTAACTCCTCATGCACTGGGGCGCTGCAGCGTCCCATTTGATTTGTTCTAGATCTCACATGCGGCAAATCCGCGAGTGTTCCAGCTGCCGTGTGATATCAGTGCCTACAGCAAGACACGCAGAAACTTCATGCATCTGGCATACCCTCAATTTATTGCCAATGAGAACTACGGAGTACCTTCGTTTTGTGGAGGGCTGAAGTTTCTGGGCAGCTTCTGCCGCTATACCCAAATTCGATGCTGCTGAGATGACGCACCAGCGGTTGCGGCAGCGAAATGAATTCTAGGCAAGGCTCCATGTGCTCATGGTGCTTTGCCGGTATGCGTCTGCCCTTGCAATCTTTTCGTGACAGTAAACCACGAACTTGTTGAGCCCCACGATCACAGCTTTCTGCGCAAACGCCCGTGTCCAGGAGCTACATAACGCCCATGGACGGCTCTGCATAAATCTGAACCTTCAAGTTATTGTGTCGGTTCAGCCAATGCCATCCTTCCTGGAAAACGGTATTAAGAAAACATTGAAGCCTTCACCAACATCTGAAGGCCAGTCGAGGCCGCGGTGAGATCAGCGCTGACCTGCCCGTCTCCGTGAAAAAGTCAGCTCAGTAGCTCCTTCTCTATTCCAGGGATGCGGTGTCGTGCTTCCTTACTGAAGAGCCTGACTACCATCAGCTGGTAAGTTCCACAGACATGCGCAGGTTTGCATGATGCAGTCTCAGTTTTTCTTGCTAGTCCCTGACGATCAATGAACATCATCCCTGCAGTGTCCAAAGTGCTGGAGCGTGCATCTCAGTGCTTGAGACACAGAGCTACAGAGCTGACCAGCACACGGCCCTACTTCAGCCTTGGATTTCTCCTTCATGAGCTCAATTGATGACACCGAATTCTCCTGGTTGCAGTTTCTGAAGCCAAAGTCCCCACACTCCCCGAGTTTGTGGTTTAAAACTAAGACCTTACCCCACGGCATGTGAAGCAACCTGATCATTTGCCAGGAAAGCTGGCGGAAAAAGCCGTGGTTCTTTTTTCTGCCGTGCAAGGGTGAAGAGAAACGAGGCCAAACCTTGCTGCTGGTTTTGCTGCAGGTTCTTTAGTCAAGGCTGTTGTTTCCCAAATTCTTCTTGAACCTCTGCTAGCAACATGGTTCGGCGCGCGGAACAGCACAGCAGGCTGGCCTATGTTGCTTGGATGAACTCTTGTGGTATTGCGTACGCCCGCAACTTTCAATTCAATGACAACAATGCCAGCAACCGGCCTCATCGTACAGCTGTCAAGCAACTTGAAAGCGATCGGATGATGACTTGCTGCCCAGGCCTTCATCTTTCTCCTCGCAATGAGGGATGTCTCCGCTGCTCGCGAGTCCTTCCAGGCTCAGCAGGCCCTCTTCTGAAAAGAGCCGCAGGAACATTCCGCAGAGATGCTTACGAAGAATTCGATTTGTGTTGAGGGATTGACCTGTGCCCCTCTTGTCGCAGTTGGCCGCCCACATTGGCAGCAGCTTGAAGGCAACAGAGGCTTACAGCAACCGCCGTTCGGCAGAGCCTTGTGCAGCAACTGGTTGCAGAACATTCTTGGAGAACACCCCTTCGACTTCTGCTATCAACTGCCATCAACTTTATGGAACAGCCTTGAACTGCTTCGTCTCAGTAAATCGACCTCGTTTGGTTCATGGAATGGCGTGAGCCAGGATTGGAGCTGAACGTGTGAGAGTTGTAAAGTGACATCGAGACAATGTCATGTTGCTCGTGCCATGGCTCAGCATGCTTTCTTGCTTTCACCTGAGGTGGCCGCATCGGAAGAGTTCTCCGTACGAACAATGTGGTCTATGGGTGAAGAGACGCTTGGTGTAGGAGCTGTTACTGTTGGAAAGGTACACTTTGTTTAGTTTCAGACTTCTGACCACTGTCCCAGCCCAGGGATTCCTTGCGATGGGCAGAGGCCAACATCACCTTCCGTTTTGCAGGTGGGCACAGAAGAAGGTATGTTGAGATTGCTGCAGGGCAAGAGTTTTACCGGGTCATGCCGGATGCGGTCGTGATGAACCAGGAGATTGAAGGGATGGCAGTCGTGGCTATCATGGGATGGCAAGCCTACGACCTCAGTTCTGGAACTTGGGGTGAGAGCGAGTACAGAAAGAAATATTCTCTCTTCTTCCGCACGGAGATGAACCCCTCTATAGGAGTCACCAAATCAGGCTGGTGGCGCGTTGAAGGTCTAAGGGTCTACGAAGCCAAGCAAGCACAAGACAAGGACGACAAAGAGCCAAAGTTATATTACATTAATGAAAGCGGAAAAATGAAGTCCATCGACTCAGATGACGTGACCCGACATGCCAAGCATCGAGAAGAGCTCCGCTTGCACATACCTGGGTATGCAGATGGTGTTTTCAAGAGACCGGACAGAGAACTCATGGCAATGGTGGATGGGATGCTGGGCGAGACATCCTGCATGGGCAATCCTAGCAAATGTGCTTTCCGCTGCTTCTACGATTCCGAGCATGATGTATGTGGACCAGTGGCTTTTTGCCAGAAGGCTGGGACGGGTGCACCCGACATTCTAGCACCTTTTGGGGAGCAGCAAAAGTGTCGCGCAGTTGGCGCCGAGAGCCACGAGCAAGCCGACCGAGTCATCGCGGAGACTGGCATGGGAAAATTGAAGGACATGGCAGTGGATGTGACGGAGAGGCTGGAAAAGAGTGAGGCAGTTTCCTGGTCCAGTTCTGGTCGAAGCTCCTTGAAAGACTCCGTCAACCTCTGGCTTGAGGCGGCTGATGTCCTCAACGTCCTCGAATCGCGGCAGAGACTGAGGAGAGCCCAGCAAACTGTCCAAGTTGAAATGGTGCGTGTGGTTTGCTCTCGAGACCTAAGGAGACGTTGCCTATGCGCGTGGCTGAAGACAACGGGGCCTTTCCAGCGGCCGCCCGGCGTGCCGCGGAGACAGACCTTAAGCACTGGCGACGGCGCCCTGCAGCCTGCCCAGAAGCTAGAACATGCTAGAACTATAGTTTCTAAGAGGAGATCTTTGGAAAGCTTGTTGAGTCTGTGGAAGCGCCAAGGACAAGCTGAGCATCCAGGAGTACCAGGCAGCGGCTGCGGCGCCGGTCTCCTCCGTGAAGGCCTCCCGGCGCTTCTCCGTGGCTGCGAAGCTGCAGCTCGGGGAGAAGACATCTCAAATCACAGAAGCTATAGTTTTCTAACATGACGCTAACGCGCTGTTTGGTCCTGAGGGTTCTGAGGGATCTTTTTGTTTTTTCGAGGCACAGCGAGCTCCAGGCTGGCTTTGTGCACAGACGACATCGTTCGGCCTTGCAGTGATTTGCAAGGTTTGCTTCAACCTTGGGGATAAAGCATCAGGGTGTGAAGACGGTTTAGGTTCATTAATACTTGGGGCTCGTCTCCAAAATCAAGTCAGCCTGCCAGGCCTTTCTCGTGAAGCGGCCCTCTGTGCTGATGCACTACGTCAAAAGCGAGTCGCAGGAGAAGTGCATCCTCTCGGACAAGACGGAGTCAGACCGAAACGAGGTCTCCATCTTTGTGAGACTTGCCAGCAGCCAGGCCTAAGCAGACCTCAGACAGATGCTAAAGATAAGAGACACGCGATTGAAACGCAGCAACTGAGGAAGTACTTTTTGAAAGTGCCGGGCTACAACTCCGATGACCTCGCCTCCGTTCGCTTGGGCTTGCCCGATCACTGCCAGGAATTTCTTGCTGGCATGGACAAGCTCGACGTGGAGCACTTGTCTCAAGATGTTGCAACAGGCCTGGGGGGAATTGGCATTCAATTTTTGCCCACTTCGCTGCTCCAATTTGTATTCCTTGGAGGGGAGAAGATGTTGGAGCCGGACTCGCCAAGCTTTGGAGAGCTCAAGTCCAAGCGCCTCTCTTCCCTTGGCAGCAAGGGGCCTAAAGGTTAGACTTCCCGAAAGAGGACATGTGGCTGATTGTGGCTGCAAGAAGCTGAGTCAGGCCACGACAGCTTCATTGAATCCGACACTTTTAAAGCAGCAGGTGAAGGTACGGACGAGGTCGGAGTGCGGGTTGTCAGATGTCAGTAGGTGGAGCTGAGCTTCGAGTGAAGTGTTCAGAGCCTTTCGCTTCTTCCCCTGCAGGCCCAGCAGAAATTTGTCATCATCGCCTCCATCATCGTTGGTTTAGTTTGCGCCCGCCTCTGCACTATGTGAATTCAGGTGCAATGAAGCGCACAGCGTCATTTGAGGTCTCGTGGTTGCGGGGACTTTCTTTATTGCCGGCTTGGCGAGTATCAATCAATGTATGAAGCAAAATGGTGCACCGGGGGGCGAGCACTGTCTCGCTGCCTTTGTGGCTCGGGCAAGATTGTAGTAAGCACACACCCCGCGCAAGTGTCTTTCCTTGCTTTGCATAATCGCTTGACTCGAGAGTTGTGAGTTGCTTCAAGGTGTGCGGTGTTTGTGGAGGTTTGGTGATTTGTGGCATCTTGATGGCAAGTAGTTGCAGCTATAGTATAGCTGCAGCTTCAAGCGGAGCATTGCCACCCCGAGGAGCTTTTGCCATGTCGCTGATTGCGCCTCGTCATTCAGAGATGCCGTGCTGGCTGCCGGTCCGCTGCTGCTGCTGCTGCTGCTGCTGCGGCGCCGTTTTGATTTCGAAGCTATCCGAGGTTGGCGTGGCTGTCCTGGCCGGCACGATGTTCTTGCTGAACATCGCGCGGCATTACTTCTTGCAGACGGCACAGTGCCTTCTGCTGCAGAGAGAGAACTTTGGGTGTTTTCATAGCTTAGCTCGCCGGTTGTCAGATGTGGTTCTTTGACAGGTTCGTATTTGTCATGGTCCGAGTTGTTGATAGGTATTCGGGCGTCACGGTCTGCTCCGAGGTTGTTTTGGGTGCCGCGCTTCCTTTGGTAGTTACCACGCAGTGTGTCAGTCTCGCCTTATGAGCTTGTGTGCTTGTATCGTGATTCATCCCCTCAGTGTTTTGGGTGTCACAGTTCAGTCGTCCGTGCTGCTTAAATCTCAGAGACTTCTAAGTCTCCTATTTCGGTCTCTTTGCAAGTACACGCTGGTTACACTCTAGTTCATTAAGCTTTCTGGACCATTATCAAATGTATGCGAGGTCTGGTGCTCCCTTATCTCTTGAAGTGATTGCCCTTTGTGAAGGCGTTAGAGTGAGGGTTGTATCGAGTTTACTGGCTTGCTCGGTTTCGCTGTCCCAGGCATGAGTTCCACAAGAGCCCCCTCATGCCATTGGGAGCGACTCCGCGATGATATCCGTGCCGTCCTTGCAAGAAACGCCAGGATTCCTTCACTGCAACGAGAATTCTCAGGATTAGCGGTTGGTTGGGCTCCGAAGTACCCACAGCTCTCGCTCTTCTACGTGTTCGCTTGTTCGCCGTATGTTCGTGCTGTGACACAAAGGGTACCGCACTTAGAGCTATTGGCGCCAGCGAGCTGTCATACTGATAGCAGCTACGAATTTGTCTTTGCCTAGGCAATTGAAGGCCTAAGGGTGTTCAGTGTGTTGGTGCACCACCTGCGCTTTGCCCTGCAAAAAGTCTTGCTACCTTTCAGTTCGCGCACCTGCGAGTGGTGAGGACACCGAACCTCTGACCTGAAGACCTACAGACCAAAGATATTTTGTGGCACAGGATCGCGAGACAAATTCAGCTTATAAGTTTCTGGATCAGATGTGCAAATGTCTTTCAACGATTATCCTCTACATTTATCTTAACTTCGTTATGCCATGTTTTCGTAGCAGCCAAACAGTGGTGCCTTCGCCTGCCAAGACTGCAGCTGCTACATGAACAGTCAGCAAGCAGCCGGTAAGTCTCGTCAGGAAGAGAGTTGAGTCTACGTTTCTGCTGCTGGGTGCTCCAGTAATGAACGCAAAAAAGCGTGATCCTCCAAGAAACGAGGCCAATCTGAGTTCAAGGATTGCGTATCTCCGAAGTGTTCTCTGATTCGAATTTTTATCAAATCTAAACCGACCTTGTGCCACGGGACAATGTCATTTATCTGCGATTTAGAGATTCGGAGCTCTTAGTGCTTGGACGCAGACGTTGCGGCACTCCTTTGCAGGTTGAGCAGGAAAACAACACCAGGGCTTCATATTCATTTAGAGCGGGTATGCACTTGGCACAGGATACGTGGCTCTTCAGGCAGAGATCAACCCTATTGCCGAAGCCCTTCATTTTTCGGAACAGTCCACAGCATGAACTGCCTGCGTTACGGTGTCATAGCATTTCAGCTTTGCAAAGCAACGAATCTGCAGATGCTGGTCTTGCCCTCCCTGGGGAACCACGCTGCGAATTTGAAGCCCCCCAGTCTCCAAGCTCCAACCGATGATTGTGAATCTCACAGGAAGCCTACCAGAAGAAAAGTTCAGGCCTACTTTTCAGTGACTCTGGAGAAAACAGAACATGGATATAGAAAAAATGGGATTCCGAACTGCGCTAGCTTACACCCATTGCAGAGCCACTTCAGAGCGCCATGGCATTGAGCTTCTTGGCAACTCCTTCGCAGCCTTCAGGCCTGCAGCCAATCCCTGGTCCAGGAGGCTTCAGGGCACTTACTGAGTTTACCAGCAGCACTTACCTTGGACAGCAATTTTCATTGAAATTGAGTATGAGATTGGAGACTAGCTACTGTTTGAACAGCCATAGCTAAGGAGCGTTGCAAAGCTAAGATCAGCTGAAATGATTCTGTGCCCGCAGTCCCATCAGTACTCGCTTCCTGCTATCACCTCAGCGATGCAGAGAGCCTTTGACGAATGTGTCTGCCCAACAAGAATCTGTTTGAGTAAACATAAACCGCCAATCTGAAATCTGAAGCCCTTGTTTTTCAGGAGGGCAAGCTGTGCGGAAGCCTGAAGCCCATTCCGCCTCCGCCTCGCTGGCGGTTGCACTACCTGCGGCTGCAGCCGCTGCTTTGCTGGCGAGACGGCAGCACCGGCAGCGTGCCTCGGCAAATGTCAACGTACTCTTCAGCTTCCCTACGTCTTCAAGTTTGGTTCTGATCTGGTTCTTGTGGTAGTCATGGGTGCTTCTGCCCGGAGATTGCAAAATTCGTCATTCCTGTCCTTGGCCGCGAGTGATTCCATGCTGAAACATCTCTGATGTGTGATACGGTTGTTTCCTCTCCATCGTAGCGCTCGATCGCATTCTCAGAGTCAACGCGGTTTGAATATTGGCAATGCGCTGCTTTTGCCTCACCATAGATAATTACAGGCCTATGCAGAAAATTGAAAACACCACCTTGACACGTTTCAGTACTGCCGGGCTTTTCTTCCCTTGCTCCAGACAATCATGGATGAGGTACACCTTAGGCGGGTCACGTCAAGCATCAAACTCCAGGGCAGTCTTCAGAGTAACAGTGAATGTGGGGGAGTAACGTTGCAGTTGGGGGGCACAATGCCTGCATATCATCTTGGGCCTTGGGTATTTCAGAGAGTCTATCTTTCCAGACTACTCAGTACAGTGTAGTCGAACGTCTCAGGAAGCTGGTAGATTTAAGGCCATGAAGGTGGTGCGTCGGCACTTATGAGATTGATCCTAGGCTCCTGCTGCCGTTGAATAAGAGAGCACGTTCAAGTTCAATAAAATCCAAGAAAAACACCACAACTAAAACCCACACTAAAAAGCAACAAACGCAACACAGAAAGTTACATCCCCGCCTTCTGAGAATGCCAGTGATTGAGGATTTTTAGAAGACAGTGCTTTTGCTGCAGTGGATTTGCTGTGGAAGGGCCGTCTCCACAATCTTTTGAAGATTTTCTCCTCCTTTCATTCTTCTCGCCTTCATTTCCCCTGCGCTCCTTCCCCACCTGAGGTTTTCAAACGACAGTGATTTGCTGTGGAATGCTGTGACTAAGGGTTGTTTCCACTGTCCTTTGAAGATATTTACCTTCTTGTCTCTGATGGCGGAATTGCACAGCATGAGGGTTGTTTTCAGAAATCTTGAATGAACAGTGGAAACGCCCCCCGATCTCAAAATTCTGCAGCAAAAGCACTGTCTCTTGGAATTCCTCAATCAATGTCATACTTAGAAGTCCGGGATGTGTTTTTTTGTATTGCGTTTTAGTTGCACTATTTTCCTTAGATTTTTGTCGTGGCGTGAACGCGCTTTCTTAGCCAGGAGGAGCCGGGAAAGAATGCTCGTGCAATTCCCACCCGCCATCACCCCGCGGTCTCCCAGGATTACATGGGTGTGAACGGTCCTCATCAACCGCAGTTTTGGTCATCATATTTGATGCTGTGCCGACCATCTGACAGGCTCGGCCTTTGCCTTGCCATGTTGCCAAGCCTTGAAGGCTGCAGCATTTGCCTGTACACAGGGCACCCAACATCACCACGCTTGGATCGGCACTGATGGATTGTGAGACCGAACAATCTTTACCAAGTTTTCTCCAGTCCTCACCAACAACATAGGTTGTTGAATGTACAAGTCCTGATAGCTGTAGAATGACTGCCTCTGTCAAGGCACTTGCAGAGGCCCTGTAGCCTGTGCAGCGGTGGCTGCAGCTGCGCCCGCACTGGCCACGTCAGAGCTGGCAGCAGAAGAGCGGAAGAAGATCCAGGTAGCAAAGCAAGCATCCTTTGGGGATTGCCCGAAGTTCATGATAATAACATGGGTCCTCATAGTCATAGTGGGATTCCCAGTATACTACAGGTCCCTACCCTGGATTCCTATTGAAGTTATATTCTGGTCCCTGAACAAATGTCTCTCATGTGGGTACAGTAGCTCAGGGCAAGTCCCATATGTACATATTAAAGCCATGCGGATAGGCTTCCTTTTATATGTGACAAGTACGAGAAGAGTTCAGATCGCTTGGGAGTGAGATGGGCGTGAATTTGGACTGTGCAAGATACTCCTGCCACATGACCTTGGTCAAATGCAAATACAAGAATTCATCGCCTTCTGGTTCTGTCTCATATCCAGCGCAAAGCACACTACACAAGGGCATACGACATTTACTAGTGCACATGGTTGACCAAGTCTTCAGAACTTGCTATTTGCTGTTACTGCTAAAGAAGGCGGCAAGTCGCGGGAGGGAGCATGGGCGCCAGAATGTGGCATGCAGGGACTCGGCAGCCGGCAGCATGGTGGCATCGGTTGGTCAGGGGGTCAACCTGTACAGTCATGCCCCTTTAGCTAAACACATGTGCACGAACTGCATATGAACTCTTCTTCTACTTTGTTGTGCGCACTCAACCAGGACCTATAGCTAGCGGATAGGTCCAGTTCATTTCTCACTTCAGCTTCAGGCGCTCCTGAGGAAGTGGCACGCAGACGACGAAGAGGCGTGGAAGCAGTTGGCTGCTTGGCACGCGCACCATGTAAAGGGGCAAGTCTTGTGATCGGATGACTCATGACTAGTGGCATGGCCGCGTCATACAATGAATCAACTATGTTGAAGTCAGCCAATGACCTGAGCGGCAGTACATCTGGGATGTCAGTCTGTTGTGCGCAGTTACAGTTTCTTGCCTGCTGGGTGTTGCGAAGCGTCTGAAGGAAACCCCATTGAGCAAGCATGCTGCATTTTCCACACAACTTGGCTTGCAAGGCTAATGATAGCAGCAAAGATCCCTAAGGCGTTGACCGTGTTTCTGTACGTCTTCTCTCTGGCAGCTGTGCATCTTTCTGCTGGCAGCTGGCCAGCAATCCTCCTGCTGGCCTTCTCGATAGTGCGTTCATACAGCGACGCTTGTCCGAAATGGCAAATATATACCCTATTATATTATAGTAGTTTCCACCTCATTTTCCATTATCCTTATATAGCCCCAATATATACCCTATTGTATGCCCTATTATGGGGGGTGCCTTAAAATAGGGGGATAGGGGG